CCCAGTTTTTCCAATGCAAAGCAGTTTATAAATCTATTTATGAAAATAAAGAAAATGTTTTGTTGTTGTTTTTTAACCCTGTTATATAAAAGTCCTGCTATCAGTTTGATGGTTTTTATACTGATTGAGAATTTGGAGAAGAAAAAATGTTATATGTATGTGATGTTTTTATCCCTCCTTTATCCCACAATGCTTTAAGCAAATAGCAATGTATTATTTATTCAAAGACTACAAAATAATTCTCGCATTACAACTGCACTCTATTAAAAAGTCTTTGAATTGACATATTTTTTTCTTTCAATGTTTTTAACTGGTTAAACCGAGATTCATTATACCACTAATGCATAAAAGTCGAGGAAGATCTTGAAAGTGCATTTCTTGGTGTGAACAAAGCCTTTGAACAAGCTAGGGTTTAGGATTTTCCTCTGAGTGTTATTTGTACTGTTGCTGTCATATCGGCTTCTGATTATATAACAAGGAACATAGTCCAGTAATTTTACAGAAGAGTGAATAGTACACGTGTTCTTTGGTATTATTTACATTTATTTATCATCATTAATTAGGGGCTTAAGAATTTAATACCATGTCGATGTCTTTTTTTCTTGGTGTGTCAAAACTAGTCTATATACTTCCTTGATATAGAATAAAGAGTATTAAGGGCGGATCTTTCCACCCTTTTTTAAATGGCTTAATAAAATAACCCACACCCATTAAATGCGAAGACAACTACTTGTTGCTTAAATGAATCTACTGCTTTAAAGTTGTTTTGATAGACTAAATTCAATTCTTTATTTTTATTTGAAATACCCAAATTTTGAGATATTTTCTACAGACATAGATATTGATCTTAATGTTTACCATCCATGGAATCCTACTCTGCAAATTAATAATTCAAATATGAATGTTAAAATCATAGAGATTCAAAGAGGATATTCATTAATAAAGATAGAAACAAACCTCGCAGGAATACATTTAAAATGTAGATGGAACAAGACGTTAATGTGAGCGATGGTCACACCGGGTATAGAAAATTATAGATGGATGACATGGGAACTACAATTTCATACATTGACAAATAGATAGACTGATTCCTTTCTGCTTGCTTACAAATTCCCCGATAACAAGAGTTCACCTTGGACAGGTGTTACAAACTTTCAATACCTTATAGGGTACACGAAGATCAAAATTGACATGGATATGTTCCAATTGATCGAGTTTGCCAAATTGTTTGACTGAATCACATTTCTAGTTCTGCTTTTGTCAAGTCTACAGCAATTTTAAAGAAGTCATTGTTACTAGTATTTTCTTACAATAGGAACCTTGTAAATAAAATTTTGTCCGTTCAGAATTTGTCTTCAATTCATAAGAAAAACATTTTGATCAGTTTTCTTCTATTTTGTTCTCTTTAGAATAATTGTAATTTTTTTCTTTGGCCTATTTCTTAATCACGTAAAACTTGAGAACCCCTTGACAGATAAGAGAGTAAGGTGAGCCACAAGATGAACTCCACACAATGAACAATATTCCATATGGCCCCTGTGGTATTCAGACCATTTCTAACCATACCCGGCACTGGTTAATGGACTACTTAAATCTTTCACCTTTTTCTAGCTATCATCGCCAGCTTTTCACCTCTGAGTGGAAATCATTGATTTACAAGACATTGATTTGTCTTCAATAATAAATGACAAACGGGAATCAAGCTGGACAAAGCCATTGATCGCACCTGTTCACGGCTTGTCACATTCAGTTTACTGGTATCTACAAGATCTTGTTCACCTTATCACACTTAGAAATTAGCTTGGCGAGTGTGTATTTATGAAAATGTGACCCCCAAATCAATGAATCTTTGAAATTTTCCGAAGGAATTCATTCCCTATCTGCTTTTTTTACTCAAATTTCACACATTGGTTTTTACGAGAACATCATCGTTGATGATATTTACCAAGCTAGAATTAGCAAAGCGTTTAATTTAGATTAACCTCTTTCTAGTTTTACAAAGATTAATTCTTTACTTTTTTTATATCATGTGCTCATTCCTTCTTTCAAACTGAATTTATTCCTCTCGAGAAACAAGATTTCAAGTCAAGCTACATTTATATTTGTCTCCAAGAACATTTCCCATCATATTTCCATTGAATGCAAAACTTGATACCCAAAGCTATTATGGCTAGCATCAATATTTTTCCTGTCATGTTGTTGACATTTTTTCCGATTTAATGAGGAAAAAATAATCAGGTATGTATTTCCATCTAATTACCTTAATAAATTCCCCTTTCCGGAAATTCACAAAATATTATTGGGATCATGCTGTTTCGAATCAATTCTTCATTATGTTGTAGTTTGGTGGACTCCATTAAACAAACAAAATGAATCCAGGTACATGTAATGCATAAAAAGCATAAAGTTGTTTTGATAAGGAGGAATAATGTTGTCAGAATGCCGAATTTGGTATAAAGCATTTGGGTACTAAACCACGTAAATTAATTGAAACCAAAACAACATACTTTTACCTTACAATTATGCCTAAATTGAAGTTAATCAATGCTTCTTTTGAGATTTCATACTGATTAAAAACTCGAGCAAGAGGAAAATTTAAAAAGAATAATATAATCCTTTCTCATCGAATCAGTCTAATGGTTTATTATCTTGCTAACATTAAACGTTGAAACGCAATTGACAAAATAAACAGTTGTTGATAAGTTAGCGGAGGTGTGCCAGTAGTGTAGGTATGCATAGCAACTCCACATTGTCAAGGCTTTTCGAGATACCACTTAAGAAGCTTGTGTATGAGGAATGACCACTACAGAGCAAAAAGATTACGGCAAGCCATGGGGATGATATCATTAATACATGTATTTATATAGCTATAGTAATAGCTGAGAATACCTATTAAGCAGAAGTATTCTAAATTCTTTAAGATTTAGGAGGAGTGTCTGGAGAAATAAGCATCCTGTAGACCGGTCACACCCGCCATGTGATCTTTGTCGTGATCGGGGAAACAGAAAGTTCCGTTAACATTTCAGTGTGTAAATAATGGGTTAACAATCAGTTGATAAAGTCAGTCAGCATTTAACTAAATGAAAGAATGGTCACTGTATCGAAAAAAGAACTTGAAAAATGATGACTTAAAACGAGACACTTGAAATCCTTGTCTCATCAACTTGGTCTTCAATAGCTTGTTGCATTTTAAAAAAAGAAACCTGCGTAGAGCATGCTCTTGCGTATCTAATCAAGTGGTCAACATAGCTCCATATTTAAGAACAAAGTGTATGTTTCTAAATAAGAAATGAGATTTGATGATTAGATTAGTTGAAACCATAAAGTTTATCATAGTGTTATTGTTCTGTTACAATTAACGTCCTTTTCAACTAAATTAGCTGAATACACTCTGTCCAATGAAATTACCTTTATCTTAAAAGAATCAAATTATTCAACAGCTACAAATTTTACATTTCAATGAAAACAAAAAAAAGATGTAGTTAATACGAGTTAGTTGATCAATATCTAGATAGAAGTAGCGCAATTCAAATATATGTCATAAATAATCCTATTGAAATTGGAATGATCTGAATGTTTCATCAAAGAATCAGTAGAACGGATTTCGATTTTTTTTAAATTCACCATTCATTATTATTCATTTAACATTGATTGAAACACGGAACATTCACAGAATCTTATAGACACAAAAGTAGAATCATATACAAATATTTCCCTACACGTATTCTTTTCATTAGGCTTTTTTTTTTTGCTTAGTTGAACATCTATATTTCTGCATTTGCCTATTCATCTTACCAAATTTCAAATGATTTTATGATGTAGACCTATATTAACTCACTTCGGAAAGTCTAATTTCTAATATATTTGTCAGTTATCGGCTTATAATCATTGGTTTAAACTTACCATTTGGCATAAACTAGTATCATGCGTATTAAATTTTTAAGATACAAGGTCGTTAGTTTCATTACATATAAAACATATAGAAGATAAATAAAGAACATGATTTTTATATATACTTTCGTTTTAAAAAGGTATATGTAGGATTACGAATATGGTTTTTATAATCTACTTTTTAGCGTTTGAAGAACTTCGAGTTTGATTTTGTGTAAAAATGACTAAAACATTAATTTTAACAATTTAGTGTATCTTTGCACTCAGCTGTTAACCCCTAATTTGAAATTTAGCCTGTTCAGAGAAATTGGTTAAAAATAACTCCAGTTAACTTTTAAAACAAAAAAATGTCCGTATTTAGTGCATAACCATTAAGAAGGGAGAAAATTGTTTCCCTTCCTTCATGTCACTTGAGGACGGGGAATCTAAATAAATTATGTTTTCCTTTAAACATCAAGTTATGCAATCAGACTGGAATAAAATAGGGACTAAGTTTTCATTAATACAAATTAGAGGATGCGCTACTCGGGGGAGCTATGGTTGTCGCATGAAACTAGAGAAAACAATCAGAGGATGTATTGTTAAAGCTACAACTTCCAGTTTTATGAGAGTTTTGAAACAACATACTGCAAATAGGAGTTAAAAACACAGTTCAATACTTACAAGAAATACGATTTGAAATCGTATTACCTCTAGTAATAAACTAATTACCTTGTCATCTTATTTACGGTGCATTGTAAAATATTGTCAAAGGCCATAGTTATTCTCAATGCATCATTACACTTTCCAATAATCATTAAGACTGAAGCATACAGTGTGTCACAGACTATAAATTAGGAATTGTGTGGAACAGTCAAATAAATTTTCGTGATGGAATTGGTCGTTGTCAGAGTAATGTGTAATTTTTACCGTCTAGTCTGTAAAATCTGTGATTTAATATGATGTTCGTAAGAACATAAAAAGAGGAAGCTTTAATTGCTAATAAATCATGAACTCATTGAAACGACATTTTAGGAAATGATCAGAGATGATGTTCAACAAAAGGGTGCACAATAAGTCATCTGGGATTGGAATAGTTTTATTTTGAAAAGGATTAAGAAAATATTAATCTCAGAAGTACATGAAAAAATCTCTACTGTGATTAAATTTACCTGATTTGAGTGGAATGAAATGTAAATTCTCAATGGGGAGGAAAAGACTGAGATACCATTTTCGTTGTTTGTCTGATATTGTTTATTCTTATAAACGTCATCAATCTTCGCAGCTTGTGGACGTAGAGGAAGAATTTCTCCATGCTGCCGAGTTTGGGGATATTCCGTCGGTCAAAAGAATACTGGACCAGACCCCCGAGATGAATGTGGACTGTATTGATGCCCTAGGGAGAACAGCCCTGCGTCTGGCCGTCAAAAATGAGCATCTAGAGGTAATGATTCAGAGAAGAATTAAAGTTTTTTTTTTTTAAATTCTTAAGCCATTTCTTATAGCTTTTCTTAACAATTTTTGATTTTTACCTTCATAGACAAATTAATCCACATAATCATTTGATGAAAAAAAAGAACTTCTACTCTTTGAAGTTTAAAAACACGCTTAAGAGTAAAGAAAAAAGTCTTGTCGGTACCGGAGTGGTCAATTTTCAATGTTGAATATTGACACCTAACGTATTACAATGAAAACCCAATCTATTTAAAATTGATCTGGATCAATTTTCTACCCGTGTCAATATTCAACGTTACACCAGACAAATCACACACTTTCCACTTGCTAAATATCTTTGCTACACACATTTTTGTTATAATTCCAATCCTACATTTTAACAGTTCTTAAATCACGACAACGACTTTTCATACTTAGGTAGTGGAGGTCCTTCTGGACCGGTCAAGCGGTCGCCATATTTACGAGGCCGTCCTACAGGCCATTAGTGCTGGACACATCCAAATTGCAGAAACCATTCTCAAACACCAAAGATACTTGGAAATGTGGAAAGAGAGAAAGAAACTAGGAGACGATGACCACTTCTTTAAAACCAGCTTTGAGGAATCCCAGTTTTCACCCGATATTACGCCACTTATTTTGGCAGCCCAGAAGAATCAGTATGAGATTGTCCAATTATTGCTTCTTAGAGGGGAGATTATCCAAAAACCTCACAAATTTAGGTGTGCTTGTCAAGAATGCACAAACAAGATGAAATTTGACATGTTGCGGTCTGCCAAATATCGTCTCAATGCATACAGAGGTCTAGCTAGTGAAGCTTACATTTCATTGTCCAGCAAAGACCCAATTTTAACAGCATTTGAACTTGGTTCAGAATTGAAGAGTTTGTCCAGAGTAGAGAAGTACTTCAAGGTAAGTAGCATGATGTCAAGATTGTTTTTATCAAAAAAGGAATTTGTGCTCCCTTTATTGTTTCTGGATTTTATTATTTAGCCTTACTCTATACACTTGACCGTCAAATAAGTGATGCACTTTACCTCAACGAAATGAGTGTGTGGTTTCGTTTACTTTTTGGTATACCTTTTGTATAAAGTATTAGATTGTCAACATCAGTCATCGATTTGAATTCTTCTTTAATTTTACGCAACTTGACTGAGATAATATTGTTTCAGATAAAAATGTAGGTGTTTATATTCCCAAGAGATAAAAAAAACTCAGGTCATTCCATTTTAGAAAAAGGCGTTAAACTAGAAACTCTTGTTGCTACAGCAACAAAGAAGGTCTTCCGTTCTCCTCTATTTATCTACATGAATGAGCTTTTATCTATGTTAAAAAGGCATATAATATTTTTAATGATTTCAGGAAAACAAACAGCCGGAAGTGTAACTTACCAAGATTCTTTTTTTACTTTAGACAATTATAGTCTTAATAACATGTACAAAAATCATTTTCATTTTTTTATCACTTCCTGTGACGACCGGAAGTGACGGCGTACGCATTTTACCCTATATTTTTTGCCCAGTCTTCATGTTGTTTTATTCAGATAAGTTTAGTGTATTGATCTGTTACAGTTTAAGAGATCTTGTAATATTATCTTCTCATCTCGAGGACAAAATAATCACGTGACCGGAAGTAAATTTTTGAAAAGATATTTGAGGTTACTCTAGATATTTCAGTCTAAATAACATGTCCTAAAATCATTTCTAATGCTCTTCTTATCAAAAATATTTATGGGATAGTATAATACTAAATTTATGCAGTTTTTCTTTCATAAGCGGAAGTTGTCCATTTTGTTTCCAGTGGGACTGACATATTTCAAAACTACAAAAAAGATGCTATAATGTATTACTAAGAAAGATTCCATAAGAAAAGTTTTTATTCATTTGTTCACTTCCTGTGACAACCGGAAGTGACGGTGGACAATCTTTTCCTGACTATTTTTGCCTACACATCTAGATCTACCACTTGTAAAAGTTTGGTGTCTTAATCTCTTACCCTTTACGAGATCTAGTTATGATAACTTCTCATTTTGAGGACAGGAAATCACGCAACCGGAAGTGAAAGATATTTGGCGTTACTGAAGACAGTTACAGTCTTAATAACATATCCAAAAATCATTACAAATACTTCATCTATAAAAAATATTTACAGGAAAGAAAAATACTCAAATTATGAAGCTTTTCTCTTATAACCGGAAGTTGTCTTCTTTGTTTCCGGTGTTACTGACTTATTTCAAAACTACAAATAAGATGCTATTATGTGATGAAAAAAAGTTTCCATAAGGGAAAGTTGAATTTTTGGACTTCTTTGATCACTTCCTGTGACGACCGGAAGTGAACGATCTTATCCCCCATGGAATTGCTTACTCATCAGGATATACCATTTGTAAAAGTTTGGTGTCTTAATCTCTTACTGTTTAAGAGATCTAGCTATAATAACTTCTAATTTTGAGGACAGGAAATCACACGCAACCGGAAGTGAATTTTAAAAAAAATAGTTGATTTACTGTAGACATTTGCAGTCTGAATAACATATCCAAAAACAGTTGCAAACACTTTATCTATAAAAAATATATATTGGAAAGAAAATACTCAAATTATTTAAGTTTTCTCTTATAACTGGAAGTTGTCGTTTTTGTTTCCGGTGGAGCTGATATATTTTGAAACTACAAATAAAGCGCTATGTGATGCAATAAACGTTCCATAAAAGAAAAGTTGAAATTTCCGATTTTTTGACCACTTCCTGTGACGACCGGAAGTGACGGCGGACAATCTTAACCTATATGTTTTTGCCTTTTCGTCAAGATATAACACTCCTATAAGTTTGGTGTCTACATCTCTTACCGTTTCCGAGATATAGCTATAAGAACTAACCATTTTGAGGACAGGAAATCACGCGACCGGAAGTGAATTTTCCAAAGATATTTGACGTTACTGTAGTCATTTGCAGTCTGAATAACATATCTAAAAATCATTTCAAAAACTTTATCTATAAAAAATATATATGGGAAAGAAAAATACTGAAAATATGCAGTTTTTCTCTTATAACCGGAAGTTGTCGTTTTTGTTTCCGGTGGGACTGACATATTTCGAAACTACGAGTAAGATGCTATAATCTGATGCAAAAAAACTTTCAAAAAAGAAAAGTTGAAATTTTCGATATTTAGGAATACTTCCTGTGACGAGCGGAAGTGACGGCGGACGATCTTAACCCAAATGGATTTGCCTACTTATCAAGATCTATCATCCCTGTAAGTTTGGTGCTTTAATCTCTTACCGTTTCTGAGATCTCACTCGGATTAAATATTTTTGAAAAAAGCGGAAATCGGACATATCTGACGACCGGAAGTAAATTTTGAAAAAATGAAAAAAACGTCTCGGGGTATTTTCATTCTCTATCATCCCTGAAAATTTCAGGAAAATCCGTCCAGCCATCTCTGAGAAATCCTGCCGACAAGATTTGGGGAAAAAAATAATAATAAGAATAATAATAAGAAAAAACAGTAGAATCACTGTAAGGTCTTCCGTCTGAAACGGAAGACCTTAATTAATGTAAAGCAAATGGCGTAAAATAAATTTCTGCTCCAAAAACAACATTATTAATAATTCACTAAAATCATTTTAATTTTGAGAGTATATTAAGGTATGACTTGGTGTTTTTCAAGGCATATACTTGATAAATCGTGTCAGAATAAAGTACTTGAATTCACAAAGCATTCTTTTTATCTTATCAAAGATTTTTAAATTTCCTCATTTCAGCTTAAAAAATTGCCATCTAACTTCGCCTTTATTTTTCATTGCTTGGAAATAATATTTTAATGGTACCGGGTATGTATTAAAGATGAATGAACTACAGTCAATGCCGATGGCGTTTTCCTGTACTCTAATAATTTTAAAATGTTGATTCCTTAATAATAAAAATCAGCAAGGCCTACAACTTCTGACATATCGGTCTCCTTAATTTCGGCTGTAGTAGTATGAATTTTGCGATTTTGTGAAATAAGTCATTTCCAGGTTCAATAATGGATCACTTAAGAATAAAAACTACGCGTATTTATATAAAAAAATCATAGTTTGAAAAAGCGTACTTGTTAACTTTATGAGCTTCCGGTCGATACAGGGGATTAAGATGGCGGCGAGTTACAACCTTTGTTCGTTTTATAGTATAAGGTTACAACTTTTATTGTTTACTTATTTTAGATAAGGAATGTTTATTGTCAATGGCAGTAAGTGATGTTACCAGAATTGTGTTCCTCCACAAAAAGCATAGAAAACATGGTATAAATGTTAAGGCATATTATTTTGAAGTGAAAAGTTGAAAAGTTGTACGTCTCTACATAATCAAAGAGAACTCGAGTCAAATTATTCCACTATATTTAGAAATTTATATATAAAAAAAGATCATGTCAACAGCATCACAGTGTTCAGTAACAAGCTTTGTCTTTTCTATGAACACATGGCGTTCAAGATGTGCAGCATATTTGATCTATAGTATCTTCGTTAGCCAAGGGTTTCCTATCCGCTGCTCTATTATAGGTTATGGCAAATTGGCCATAGATATTTTAACCCTCTTCTTTATCAGTCATGAAAAAAGTATACCTGAGAAGAGTGGCAGATCAGAAACCCTGAGGTAGCCAAGATAGACATAAGAAAGCAAGTATTTAAAAGAACGTAAAATGTACAACCAATAAAACTATTTAGATTTAAATTATCGATGCTTTGATAATATCAGTTTGTAGGAAATAACACCAAATATTATCTTTACAATCTTCAATAGACAAAATTGATTTGTCGTTTATCATCGATTCATACAAACAGTTTTATCCATCTATAAAACCTTATGAAAAGTCCAAATAGAAATTTAACAAAGAAAGCATTATTTGGTCCAATATTTGTCTAAATTGTAAAAATTGCAGCAATGTAGTAAAGAACAAAGCTATACCTATTTCTTAAGGTGGGTGAGGTTTGTGTAGGGGTAAAATCCTTGAGTAAAAAATCAGTTGATACTACATCTGAAATACCAGTAAAGGGGAAATATATATAAAAACATGACAAAAAATAAAATTCTTCACCGATCATGACTACACATCACGTCAAAGGATGGTATAACTATGTTACTTTTAACACCATTGGTCATTTATGAAGCAATCTTTAACTCGGCCATGACTTTTTAATGGTTGGCACCAGGGCTTTCATTATTCACAAGCCTATTCCTTGTGACAAGACTTTCCCTTCGACGCCATACGCATTTATTTTCACTCTTTGACCTTGATCTTCGAGTTAAAGATATTTGTGAAAAAAAAACTTTACTTTCAAAAGTCTGGGATAAGGGCTTCAATATTTCACAGATGTCTTTCTTGTGACCAGAGCTTCTTTTGGGTATAATTGTTTCGGTCTTTCGATCTTGACTTTGGAGTTTGACTTACTTTTGAGACATTTTGACCTCCGCTATGAGATGCCATACTGTGCATCAGTGTTTTACAAACACATCTTGTTATTCCTGACGAGGAATACCGAGAAAGTGTTAAAGCAATGACCGTCAGCAACACTTTTGTTCAGACGCCTATAGGCAGGAACTTCAGCTAGAATTGTCATTTCGAAGGTTTTAGATAATTCAGGGCTGAAATATTCTGTTTGTTTATTCTGATGATTTCTCTCAGTAAATGTGTGGATCGTCTTCATCTAACACTTATTTCAAAATTTTCTTTTTATATGACACCAAAGTAGTCATTCTGAAAAACTAATCGGCTTAAATCTGTCGCTATGTGTGGAAACATCCCCAGATCACAAGCAAAGACTCAGAGTGTGAAGAACAATGGAAAAAATGCAAATACAACCGTAGTTATAATGTCTACCATCAGAACCAGTGCAAAAATGACAGTTTCATTGCTGAATATAATTTTAGAGATCGAGATCGTTTTAATATTCAAACTCTGTGTGATATGATTTAAAAGGGGTTAATTAAGCAGAGGGATTTCAAAAACATGTATTCATAACTATAAATGTACCAAATATAATTGTTATATACCACAAGCAAAAAGACCATCCCTTAAATTGACGATAATTTGCTTGACAAATGGTTACACTTCAGTATCCATAATCTTTCCTGAACATATTACACGTCATAAAACGTGATGATAAATTTGCATGTAGTGACTATTGATTGATCTGTGATTTGATTGATTATTGAGACAAATAATATTCTGAATCTTAGACAGCAGGTTATTAAATGAAATATATGGAGAAAGCAAACACTATTTAAACTCCAAAGTCCATTGAACAATACAAAATAGGAGCTGAGCAAACACGGACCTCCAAAACATCAGAGGTAGGATCAGGTACCATGGAGGAGTGAGCATCCCCTGCCAACCGGTCACACGCGCTGTGTTCCATGTCATGAGCGGGAAATAACGGAAAATCCGTTGACAATTCATGGTGTATATAATGGCCTAACGACAAGAATGAAAAAAAGTCAGTAAGCATTGGACATAAAGGGACATGAACAGAGTTTCAGATGAAAATTTTCAATATCCCCCATTTTTTATGTTTACAAATATTTAAGGAAGGTATATCTCATAATAATCAAAAATTTGAAATCCAGTAGTCGAAATACAAGACAGATTAAGAGCTCCAAATCTTCGTTATGTAAGCAGGACCCATACCATGTTTTAATCACTTAGGTTAGATATACTAATATATGTTCGTTCAAAGCAGATTGTTTTCAATAAAAAAGTTAATTCTAAATACGATTAGACAGTTTCTAGTGATTTGCTGAATCTTGTTTTGTTATAAACATGATATTTTCTGCATGTGAACTTAAAAACAAGGCACGAGCCTCGTTTATATTATGAAGAATTTTAAGGTCTGTATCTCCTTTGGAAATCAACAAGTGATGTTCAAATTTTTAATGATCACTAGAATTGCCTTATTTAGGAATTGTAAACATTAAATTTAGTTACAAAAAATTCAGATGAAACTGTGTCCATGTCTATTTAATGATAAAATGTATAAGCTGACAAGGTCATTGTATCGACCATAGAACTCACGAAATGGTGACTTTAAACGAAACTGTTGGTATCTGGTATCAGCAAATTGTTTTAGAAAAATCCATTCCTATATCCTTAGTATTGGAAAATTTGTAAGAATCATCAATTTTACATAAAATTTTAAATTGGAGAAAATCACATGAAAAAAATAATGCATAATTTTTTATTTGCAATAAGGTATAAACAAATCAATCGATTGAAGTTAGTGTTATATTTGGAAACCGTACTCCAGACACACCAAATCATAAAGGCATCTATTGGATGACGATGTATAAAAGCTACCACCTTTTTTTGACCTGAAACATATGTCTGTTATATGTATGACCTTTGGTTTGTTTTCTAAAGAAACAAATCACAGAAGGGAAAGAGTGAACAATGATGTAAACATTGCTTGTGAAAGACCGATATTCAAAAAAGTGTAATAAATTTAATAGCTCTTTTTTTTTTCTCTCAGTGGCATTAACTTCCACAATTTCCTCCTGCATTGATCAATAGAATTAATCAGGACCGTTTACGAATATCAAACATTGCCCAGTAGAGGTTTAACGCCAAATCTGAATTAACTCGATTGTCAATCTGGTAGTAGTATGGTAGTTAAATCACTGTAGACTCCTTAAATGAAATATATGCAGATAACAAACAGTATTCAAGCTCAAAAGTCCATTAACAATACAAATCAGGAGCAGACCAAATACAGACCTCTTAAACATCAGAGGTGGAATCAGTTGCCATGGAGGAGTGACCATCCCGTGCCCGATCGGTTACTCCCGCCGTGATCTCTTTGTCATGATCTGGAAATGAGGGGGGCATGGTTTATCTATTAGTATGAAAAATGTCAGTCAGCATTTGACTCAATGATAAATTGTATTCGCTGACAAGGTCATTTATAGACCATAGAAATTACGAAATGATGACTTCAAACGAGACTGCTGATATTCTTGTTTCATCATCTTAACAAAATCTTTACTTTTTCCTTTCTCTTCCAAAACTTATCTGATTTTATTCGATTTCATCGTTACAGAAAGAATACAAGGACTTGGCGGAACAGCTGAGTGAGTACACAGTGAAGTTACTGGACCGTGTGCGCACGCAACAGGAACTAGAAATCATTCTAAACAAAGCAGGAAAGCCACGCTTCAACCATTATGAGAGTTTAGCCAGATTCAAACTTGCACTTTTCTACAAAGAGAAAAAAGTACGAAATTTATTCGCCAACCTTGCATTACATATTTAAAAATAATTTCCTTTTTTAAAACAAAGACCGTAAAATTACATTTTTATTTGAAGGCTATTTAAAACGATGGAATTTTATTTTTTTTTTATTATACAAAAAAAAACCAAAAACAAAACAAAAGCTGATAAAAACCATGAAAAAAATACTTCATCCTCTTTTTTCCGAATCATTGAGTCCACTTTTATAGTTCTGTCTGTATTAAACATTGATATTAGAATTAAACTGCACTCACTATTTGTTATTTCCAAAACCAACGAATTTTGTAGCATTCTGATCTGGGTTATCTTTTATTTAAGTTTGTGGCTCATCCCAGCTGCCAACAGAAACTGATGAAGTCGTGGTACTATGGTATGGGGTCCCTGGAGCGGGCTAGCTGGCCCAAGAGAATCCTTATGTTTATTCTCTTCATGCTGTCCTATCCATTCCTTGTTCTTGTGTATCTCCTCTTCCCAAAATGGAAGGTAAGTTTTTATTGGTCAAGAAAAAAATTCAAGGTGGTAATTCTTAAAAGAATTTAATAGAATTATCTCATTTTGTGGACCCAGAATGCTACACATTGCTGAAAATGTCGAAGGTGCATGAACCCTTTGGTGAAAACAAGCTTTGAGGAAGGTACAAATATACTTTGTAATAAAAAAATAAAATTTCTATTTTCATCATTTTCTTTAGGTAATTCATGGGCAATTGATACCCATGACATTTACAAAATGTAATTTCCCACAGTTTCAAATGGTCCTTTCGTAGATTCATTTCATCGTATTATATCATAGCTAATGAACATTAGATTTCCAGTTTCGTCTTTGGGATTTCCAGGAGTTCGTGTTTTAATTATGCTTTGTTCAAAGATTTGTCTTATTTGTTGTTTTTCTTGACCAATTACTGTTCGAATCTTCACATTTTATCAACCTTCCATTCGTAGTTTATTTCAGACGTCAATTTGAACTAGTTCTAAAGTGAAAAAAAATCTAGTTAAATGCTATACGAAGAAAAGAAAATTATTCAAAAAAATCACATCGTGCACGAAAGTGTTCCTGGGATTACCAGTATCTCCTGCAGAGAGTCTTTATTTCAGGAATGCTTCTATCCAAGCAGACATCTGGGCGAAGAAAATTCTGATTCCTATATATGCTCGCAGTTCTTTAAACGTGACAAACGTAAATGTGACATACATGTAATTGTAGTATTGTACATTTCTCTATAGGATTTGTTATACTTGTAAATCTACCCACCTCAAACCCTTGCTCAAAGAGCAGAAACTCAGCATATGCGACTGAATTCAGTTTCTAAAGCTCTTTTACAAATCTCATGATATGATAAGCAAAGAGGTAAAATGCACAAGGTATGATAAAATACAAAGTTTCATACAGTTTTTTTTTGGATCAAACTTGCTTTCCTTTGACGTTCAATTTACAGTCTGTCAAGAACCATGAAATAGACATCTTTGATTTCAATGCATCTTTGATTACACTGAAAAGATTTTTATCTCATTGAAAGCTTTTTTAGGATTTCTCTCATTAAGTTTCACATTAAGTGGACTGGAATAATCAGCCTTTATGCTGGATTGAGATCTGCATGTTTGATGGGCAGATTATGTTTATGCTTTTATGTCTACCAGGAAGTAATCTACCTGACTAATATAAACTTTCATTTCAACAATGGTTTAATTTGGAGAAAACAAAGGTTCCATTTCTGTTGTGAGGAAATAAACATCCAAGACAAGTTATCTCTGGAATAAATATCTTATTTAGTCAATGGATACCTCTTAACATGTAGCAATGTTTTGTTGTATGATAAAAAATTGTAATCATTGAGGAAAATACAACCCTTTCTTTATCAGTTATTGAGCAACGTTTATTGTTTTCACAAATAGCGCAATGCCCAAGGAATTAAGAGTGAAATAGAAATTCATCTACAGAACTATTATCGTCACACATTAATTTGCCAATATTGTTTCATTTTGATATGAAGTAATATTCTATTTTGGTCATGAGCAATTAGTCAGAGATTGATCATCTATTTTTGACCGCACTACGATTAACCTTTTCCAAACATAACACAAAGTACTGCATCGACAAACATAGGGAAATATTTCAAAGACATAGGAAACCTTTTATTTTTTATTTGCAAAACTGTAAAAACAAGTCAGTGATAGAGAACCTAAATACATGACTGTATTATCAATTGTAGGCTTTTCGCACAAGAAAAAGTATATCTAATTTGTAAGAAATAAATTATACATATAGGATCCAGGGCTATGGTATTACGGTGGATGTGATTTCGTGGGGTTTTTTTTTATACCTGAGCCTTGGCAAGGGGCTAAAAACACAAGAGTTTGTTAAATTATAATACCGGTATTCTGTCACCACTTGAGTAGTTTTTTGCTTGCAACAAAACAGGATTTAAATAACATTCATTTTGGAAAATAAAAGTATAAACATTTGCTTACAATTTCAAGATTCCTCAAAACTAGTTTAAAATTTCTCGATATCGATATCTCAAACAAAAGTAAATCGATACACCAGTAACATTAATAAGTCTATTGTTGATTTAAAAAGTGAATATAATGAACAGGATCGATTGTAGTCAGGCGGCATACCTAAATTTTTTGAGACAATTGTGCATTTTGTGATAAAAGCATAGAATTTTGTATGCAAGTAGAGTAGTTCATTACAAACATATTTGGATATTGGGCCACTTCATTCGGTACCTTGTATGACCTTGGTGGCCGATTTTCAAAATGGCTGACAAACGCAAGCATTTACAAGAACATTTTCTTTTGCGCGTTTAAAATAAAAACAACTTTGCAATATTTATAAATGTACTTACATTTGCACATGCTCTATTATTCAGAAAAAATGTTTCTTCATCTCATCGGGGTTAAGTATGTGCCAGCTGATGCTATTTATAGTGATAATTTTTCTAAATTGACAATATTAAAAATCTATGATTAAAATTA